TTCCATTTTTTAATGTGTGAACACGGGCTAGGCATCCTTACACTTTGCTAACTATACAGAGGCGTTTTGTTTGAGGTTTGTTTATGGGTCCTCAGACCGCTGTGTATTGCTATCATGCGGTTGTTACTTAAGTTGGTATAACTAGAGAAGCAAGCGGTCGTCAACATTCATCTCGGGGGTGTCTACACCAGAATATCCCTTTAAAACGGCATTATTTAACTGTATTATGAGGACGCAGCTTTTGTGCAGATGGGGGTGTTTGTGCAATGCCAATCTCATGCCCGGTTTATGACATCAATTTAAGCAAAATGGTGTTTTGATGGGAGTTGTGATGGTGTTGTGGCTGGTTGCTCACCACCCTTTTGTTGCTCTTCTCCCAGATTTTTTCCAGGATTTACTTTTTGAAACACTTCCTGTGCATATATCAACAGATAAATGTGAAAGTTGTGTTTTTTTAGTATGAAAATAGTTTCTTTTAAAAGTGGAGAGAGTCACGCACTGTGAATCTTTCCCTTGTTTCTCCATTGTCTGCAAATCTCTGCTTGTCGCTAACCCTGTGGCGGCAGTAACAGAGCCTTTCAACTCCACATGGAGACATCATTAGTATTATTTTAAGTGTGTTTTCTAACAGAGTAAAAGGTCCTCGCAGAAGCAGCAGCAACATCGAGCCTCCCTGCTTTGCTTTGTAACCAAATGGTTAAACCATATCTCTTCCAAACTGCTGTTTCTGTTACACCACATCGTGTTTTCAGGACCCTCTGAATCACTGCCCTTTGTTTGATGATGGGGTCTCTGCCTCTCACTGCAGCCTTGTTGAATCTCCGAGGATGTTTTTCAGGCTGTTGCCAAAATCGAGTTTTCGCTGACCCATGCTGATTGACTCCCACCTACAGAAAATAAACTACTGTGTCATTTGCCACCTACTCTCTCAGCGTGTGTGGGAGCTGACCGATTATTTCACTGGAAAGAACAAAAAAGGGACCAGAAGAATATCATGCTTTATGACCACTTTTTGATTATTCAGCTGAGGGCTTTTTTTCTTGGCTGTAAATGAGAGGTGGATAAACATCAGACGCTTGATGAAGCGAATGCAACCTCTTCATTATACAGATGATTCAGACGTGATAAGCCCAGAGAAGGTTCCCCTTGTTGCCCGCGTGACATCTCCTACCTGTCAGTCCCTTGGGCCAAGTGTCTGTCAAGATGATTGGCAGCACCCCCCTCAAGGCGACTCAAGTCAAAACCCTCTACTGGTTAAGCCACAGTATTATGTTTCACCTTGGTGGATTACATTACGTTTCATATTTCAGAGAGAAAAATCCCCTCACTCAGACGGATGAATAGCCATTGTTGTGACATTTGAAGGAAGCACCAAGGAAAAATGGTGGGGGAGAGTTCTGATTTAATTCAAGAGGATGTCTCACCTTTGGCCAATATGAAAGCATGTGTAAAATATTTTAAAAAAGACCTGGTGTGCAGAAATGAGTAACCTAGCTTGCATGACGGCTCTCCTGGTAGATTACTAGCTTTGGAGAGTGACCACCACATTTCCCAAAGAGCCCCACTCTGGAAACACAAAGAGAATACAAGCTTATCCAATAGCCAACAAACTACCCACGAGCACTTGAAAACCTCTCAGTTGTTTGACCTTTATCCCTGTTCCCACAGACACAAATTTTTGTCATATCGGCCTTTTATCCACACGGAAACTGGCCCCAGAGTTTATTAATCCTTATCTTAGACTGTATATACTATCAACAACTCGGTTCCGCCTTCCGCCTGTATATGGATTTGAAGCCGAAAAGCTCTCGATAATTCTGTGTTTTTTCTCCATTTCCTGAAACCAACATTGCGCAGTAGCGTTCTACACACTCCACATATTCCGCAGTAGCGTTGTACGCATTTGGTGGTAGAGTCGCTGTGATGACGCTCGGCTCAAACGGTGTATCCCCCCGGGTGAGCTATGCAATCTTTGTACGCCCATAGGCTAATAACTTTTAAAAATGGAGCTGTACAGAAAAAAGAGGACTTGAGCACAAACCAGTCTTACACTAACTACATGTCAACATCGGAGGAGGCGAGATTTATGACCTATACTGCAGCCCGTCGCCAGAGGGTGCTGTTCTCGGAGTGGCTCCACCCATCGAGGAGGCAGACGATGTCAATTCTATATACAGTCCATGATCCGGTTTTGTCCACACTGAAACAAAAACGATACATCACTGTTTTCCTTTGAAAAAGTTTCCTGTAAAGACTGAATAGTTTCAGGATATGTCTGCATGTACACAAAACCATTAAAAATGACAAAAAAATGGTGTAGTGCATATGCCAAGCCAAGTGGAACAGAACATTACAGAACCTTATCACACTTCTGAATCTCCTAATCCTAACCCTAAACCTTATCCTAAACCTAACCCTAACCCTAACCTGACAGACGATGGCGTTTCACAGCCATAAGGAATAACCAACTGGAGCCCGGCACTTCTAGCCAATCAGAGGCGAAGGAAAATTCGCAATCCGTATACATGCTCCATATTCTTCTTCTGGCTTTTGGTGCATTTCTGTGGTAGCACTACAGTGCCACTTACTGGCTCGGCATATGCACGACACCATTTTTTAGTCATTTTTAGTGGTTTCGTGTACACGCGGATATTTCCTGAAACGATTCAGTCTTCACAGGAAACTCTTTCAAAACAAAACAGCGATATATCGTTTTCGTCTCAGTGTGGACAAGATCTTAACCCCTCACCTTTGGTCCACCTTTGCCTTCAGAAAATCTACGTGCAGAATTTCCAGCTTCCCAAACTTCTTAGTGTCCTCGTCCATTTCTCACACAGTGCATGGAAATCGACTGGCATAAGCACAAAGTGGTTCTATGGTGGTTTTGGCTCATGCTCCTGATACTGAACCCTCAAATCTTCCTCTAAGGCATTAAACCACTGGTGTGTGACTGTTGGTGTAGGGATAGCAGCCTGTAAATGGGACACCTGTCCTACCAGCTGGTACCCTCAACAGCTAAGCGCCAAAGGCGGCACATGTCATTAGATGTAGTCCCTCTAATGGACACCTTCCTGCTTGAAAAAACTCAATTCATTCCCGTAAATGTTTACCCCCACAGGAATGAGGGGTTCAGTGACCTCCTTTTAATGGTGTCTTGGGGGATGTTTTTGGGGGATTAACGTCTGAGTTTTTCCAAAATGATTTATCATTGAAATGTGGTCCAGTTTTTACAGTCAGTCATGACGGATGTCACATGATTGTTGACAGAAGTAAGATTTTACAGGGTTGGGTCAAGAGAAGTCACCTTTATCTCCAGATTACATTGATGTCAAATGTTACATTAATTGCAAACCTCTAAAGGGGACCTGCCATCAAAATGTAATTTTGTGTGTTTTTTGTGTCCATATTATGTTCGTCTTGTGTTGTAAATGTGAAAACAAACCGTTACGTCGTTTGCATTCTGTAAAGGTTTAAAAAAGCAGGTCCTTCTGACGTTACGCTGACCTTGATCATTATTATTCACGAGCGCGTCCTCGGTGAGCCGCGCCCACTCTCTCATTCTCGTACTCATTCACAGCCAGAGCGAGACCCAGCTACCACTGTAGCCGCTATGGGTCTCTTCCAAACGACCGGTGTTTCCTTGGGTTCACTGCCGGGAAAATGAACTTAAAGCCGGGCAGAATGAATGAGAAAACACCGCTGGAGATCTCCGGCTTCCTTTTCAACTTCCACCTCCTCTTCGGACTCGGGGTCTAAAATATATGGTTTAATACCTGCCATTTTTAGCGTTTAGCATAAGGTGACCAGACGTCCCCGATTTCCGCGGATAGTCCTCGAATTGGATGACCTGTCCCCGGCAAAAGCTGTCCCCGAAAATTCGCTCGAACAACGGTTATTACAGTAGCCGAATGGGTAGGAAGCACAAGTAAGCAGTCCTGAACAACAGTTTTTAAGGGGGTTGTTACAAGGGGCCTGCGCTGCTACTAAACAGTACCGAGATTTTGTCTGTGATCACACAGCCCCTGCAGCCCCTGCACCCTCCCCGCCGCCGCACCGAATATCAAGCAGCAATCCAATCAGAGCAAAGCTCATTACCATAAATGTTAATGAGCCAAAATCAGTTGGTTTTCCTGTAAGGTTTTTTAGGCAGACTAAGATGGTTTGAAACAAACCATCAAATAACCTTTCAGCTAAAATTATGTTGCAAACATGATCAGAGGACATCAAGGATTATGAAAAAGTGATAAAAATGGGTATGAAATTTTGATGGCAGGTTCCCTTTAAAAAAATAAAAATAAAATAAAATAAAATAAAAATAATAATTAAAAAAAAAAAAAAAAAAAACGGTAACTCCGCCAAATTGTCTCAATTGAGTCATTTTTGCCGGTCCCCAGCCCAGATAAAGGAGGAGTGCTGGAGTTGTTGTCTCTCAAGTCTCTCTGTTAAAGGCATGGACTGTGAAGAAGATGAGTTACAGATATCCACCATAAAAGCAGAGAAACGTCTCTGCATTTCTAAGGTGGACAGTTATCAATCATCTTCTTCAGAGTCTGTGGTCTGTGGTGACCTAAAAATGAGGCCCAAAAGCTGCAAAACCACTGTTGGTGGACACATGCAGGTGTCACTGCATTCAAAGGTGTTAAAACACGCAAGCAACACAACAACATCAAGATGCAACCATTGCTTTAGAGACCACCTATGCATCCAATCAAAACTGTATAGAAAAGATTTACTGCAGTTTGACTGAGATCAGGTTGATTGGCATTTTTTAAAAATGGAATGGAGTGTCCCCCTGCACTGCATTTTTTAAAATTGTGGTGATGTCATCGAGCATGACTGATGACATCAGAGGTTAGCTATGAACTCAAACAGAAGTCTCTTCACCTCCAGACCGAAGCAGTATAGCCAACGTCTAGTGAGCGAGCAAGAGTGACAAAATCTGAAGAATATTTCAGCCGAGTCAGCAAAGTTATCGAGAAGAAGAGCAGTTTTCTTCTATCATGACAACTCCACCTCCATCACCAACGTACCCTGCTGGTTTTGGGTTTGACACCCCCCCTCACGCAGCAAAAGGTTCCAATGGAGATTTTGAGGAGTTCACATTTGAAGATCTACTCAAGCTGGATCTACAGAGCCCATTGGACAGTCCCCACACAGTGTTCAAGACACTGTGTGACAACATGCTCTTTGAGGCAAACCACCTTACAACGCAGAGCCAGACCACTGATCCTCTGCCTTCCCTTTCACCTCTACCTTCATCGCCAACACACCCTGCTGGTTTTGGGGTTAACACCCCCCTCATTCACGCAGCAGAAAGTTTCGATGAAGAGGCTCTGGAGTTCACATCTGAAGAAGTACTCGAGCTTTTTGGCCTAGAGAGCCCATTGGACAGTCCCCGCACAGTGTTCAAGACACTGGCTAGATGTTGTGACCTGCTGACAGATGACATGCTCTATGAGGCAGACCACCGTACTACACAGATCCAGTACACTGACCCTCTGCCTTCCTTTTCACCTCCATCCCCAACATACCCTGCTGGTTTGGGGTTTAACACCACCCCTCACCCAGCAAACAGTGGGGCTGGACAGTTTGCAGAGGTCACAAGTGTTGAAGATGCTCTTCAGCTCTTTGACCATCAGCATGCATGTGCCAGTCCCGCTGTTTCTCTTCCCACAGCCTCCAACTCTAGGTAAGTATTGATTCAAATTATTCAAACTTTATTTTATTCATAAACGATCATGATAATAAGCAAAGAGAATGGAAATGACATTAGGCATACCTTAACATTTATTCAATTAAAAAAGTTTGATAGAGCAACAACATTAACTTTCTCTCTGATTTTGACCAACAGGAAAAGAAAAAGGGAAATGGAGCAGGAGGACAGCGGATACATCAAAAAGCCACCAAATGCCTTCATGATCTTCATGAGGATGTACAGAAAACATGTACCAGCTGAAGTTGCAGAGAAAGGGAGCGCAGAGACGAATGCTTTCCTCGGCCAGTGGGTAAGTGTGTCAGGACATGGTTCACTCGGGTTTAAATAAATCAAAGATTTTTACTTCATCTTTTCACTGTAACTGTTAATGTTGCTTTTTATTCACTGTCTCATGTAAAGAACTTTTAAAAGGTATGAAAGTTTGCATAGAGGAAATGTCGTACACTCACTAATGAGTACCCGGTGTGCACCTGGTGTTGTTCATGTGCAAGTGGATGATCCAGTTTGGAAATGAGTGTGTTTCTGACAATATGTTTTTGTCTGTTCACAGTGGAATGAGCTTACAGAGGAACAGCGAGGGGACTTTAAAGAAATGGCCCGAGTGGAAAAGGAAGAACACAGACGGCTGTATCCTGGTTGGTCAGCCATCAACAACTATGTAAGTACACAATCTATGCACAGCAGCATCACAAATGTTGTGATGTGAGCGTGAGATTTCAAAAGCAGCTTTATACTACTGACACTGTATAGTCTGGTGTTACCAGGTCAGAAAAGTAACAATGTTATGTTGTTTTTCAGGGCAAGAAAAAGAAAAGGATGAGGAAAAGTGCACCAGCTGCAACTGAACCATTTTACCCCTCGTCCGGCCAAGAGGGTGTAAATACTGCAACCCCTCTGCTGTACTTCGGGATGATGGGACCAAACACAGGGATGTGGCAAAATCCTCTTCAGCCACTTGCTGTGCTCCCAGCAGCACAGACCCCCTTCCCTGCATCTGTTAACCCCCAAAGTCTCCTGCCCCAAGTGTTCCAGATCATCCCTGTGTCCTCATTGCCACAGACACCCTACAAGCCATTTTAAAAGAAACAGAGATAGGAGACAAAAGAAAAATGTAAAAAATAAATAAAAAATAGAAAAAAAAAAACTATAAAAAAGAGTGAATTGAAAATTTGTGTACACAAGCAGGATCCAATGAGTCTCTCCAGACTGAGAGAAATGCTGTACAATTCACACAGGAGGGGTGCGGATATAGGTGTTTACATCATTTATAATAATATAAGAGACAGGAGGGTTTGGAGTTAGTGGAAAATGATGCTCTTTAAGGGATAACAGAGTCCAAGATGCCACAGTCGAACTGTGAGTTACAGCATCCTTAGTTTGAGTCCTTGTGGGATGTTCATTGATTTACTAAACTTTGATTTTCTAAAAGGTCAGATGTGCTTACTGTAATGTCAAATGTACATAGTTGTCTTACAGCATGAGCACTTTTCTGTTTTAGATAAAGTTACAAACAAATAACCCACAGAGCAATAGACGGCTATTAGACGTCTAGTTTTATTATTTTTTTTAGACCAAATTTCAAACATCTAGATTGTGTATATTTCTAGACGGAATTTAGACGTTGCACTTTAACCCATTATTCGATAACTATTTATTTCAAAAAGCAACTGTAAGTTGCATAACTGATCTCCAAGTACTTAACCAAAATAATAATAATGATGGCCGTTGAGCAATATACAGTGTAGTATAGATATAGCCCAGATTTAGATTTAGTCTAAACCTGGTCTAAATTTAGAGATTTTTTAGACCTTTTTAGACCTGTGGTAGCCTGATTTTAGACCAGTTGTCTAGGCTACATTTAGGCGTCTATTAGACCTCTTTCAGATCACAAAATGCTCAGTGGGAAGGACATTTCAGTTAACAATACAGAGTCACTTGAACCTAACTTGAGAGCTAATGTGGCGACTATTCTAGGGTGACCATATGTCCTCTTTTTACCCAGACATGTCCTCTTTTTGGGGGGCTGTTCGAGGTGTCTGGCTTTGTCAGGGGAAGTCTATGAAATCCTATAAATGTCCACGGTTTTGTACGAAAGTTGTGATTTTTTGTGACGTGGACTTACTGAGTAAGAAGCACGTAAAAGACATTCAATCCGACCTGAAAAACTGTTACAAGTAACTGTGCGACTCTGTCAATACGGTCACCCTCAGTTATTCACAACTATTTCAATCATAAAGCAACTATCTACTCACTGTTCAAAGACTGTAATTCTTCATTGGCTCGGCTCTTTTGTCCTCATCTGATTTTGACTCGGATGACTCAAACAGAAAAAAGCTGAACTCCACTCTGATTGTCACATTGTCACAACTGTTGCTGAGTGTGTAGCCAGATTGATGTCGATCAAAAATGTGAGCAGCCTACACAGTGTTAAGAAACGGCCCACACAGCAGAATTAACTCCAGCCAAATCTTTTTCTACTTATGTTGGCTCTCATTAACACCTAATCTGACTGCTCTGATGTTACGCCAAAGGGCATCTTCATTTCCGGGGAAAGACAAAGCGATCTGGACCCGAGGGGCTGTGATAGTCCTGATCTGAGAAATCCTTTCCAAGCATGAGGCACGTGTGATTTTTTCTGCCTCTGTGCTGTCTGAATGTGTTGGTAGGGTACAACAAATCCCATAATTTCAGTTTAGAAACACACTAATGATTAGTATTTTCCTATCTGCCCTCTCTCTGTCATCACACACATTCCTACATGTCACTGAGGCAGCATCCTCCGACCGCCCCGCCTGGCTAACAGACTCAGCCGGTGAACTCAGCCAGCAGCATGCGGCCTTGTGCCACCACACCATGTGGTGAAGCTTTGGAGATTACCATTTTCATAATGAAGTGTCAACTAGTGTGACGGATGATGTCCCTCCCCTCTTCAATTTGCACTCCACGGTGCCGAGACGCGGCGCACAAGGCCAGGAGGAAGTCAGGGAGCGGAGGAAATGTGGGGGCTGTGGGCTGAGTGACTGTGTCGCACGTTTCTCTTTGCTGTGACGCAAGACGGGAGAAGTGCTGCAGTCTGGGAGATTACTGCCAGGATCAGTCTGATCGGCTGGTTTCATCGCTGTTGATTATGTGATTCCCCCCGAGTCAGTCGAGTTAATCAATTCTTCCATGCCGTGGGCTTGTAGATTATATTTACAGCCACTTTACTTGTTATCTGGATGTTGTGTCATTGCCATCTCCAAGCTGGTTTGTTCACCTTTTCTGCAGCTCTTAATCATCTAGGCTGGTCTCTACATATCTCCACAGTGTCACCTTTGCTCTAGCTACAGGTGCATGTGGTCTTTGCAAAGGTCTGCTCTTCAGCCTGGAGCTTTGATTTTCAGTCATACACATTATTTTTGTGGCTTTAACTGTCGAGCTGTTTCTATTTTCATGAAACAGACAATTTAATTCCCATACAGACACCTTTAGCTTATGGAATACGCACCGAACTCCAGCGAATCACTCACGAGACCAGGGATCATTCCTTCCGAGTCACTTTTTGAGATTTGAGATTTTATTTATTTAGTCCCCTTGGGGAAATTCATCTTCACTGACTGTACGTTATGGGAAAGACAACGACATTGCACATTACAAACATCAACAAACAGTAAGGACAGACATAAATAGTGTGGGACAGTGACAACAGCAAAAGGTGACAGGCTGGTCGGATAGGTCAGCGGAGCCCGCTGTTAAGGGCGGCGATAGCTGCAGGGATCAGGCTTTTCCCAAGATGGGCCCTCCTGAATTTTTGTGTTCTGTACCTGCGCCCAGAGGGTAGTGGAATGATGTGTCGGTGTAATGGGTGAGTGATGTCTTGAACTATTGTGTTTGCCAGTCGAGTGATGGACCTGTTTTATTTAATTCTGTAAGGTTGGGTGTGGGGAGGCCGATGATTTTAGCAGCTGTGTTTGTGAGGTGTGACAGTTTGGCCCGGTTGGTGACCGATAGCATGGTGTAAAAACATGTGGAGCAGTTCAAACTTCGAACTCTGGGGTTCGAACTTTTACGACACAGTAAACCAGCTCGTCATGATGTCTCAGGCAGCTTGATCCAGCAGAGGGCGCTCTAAACATAACCTGGCCAATCTGTCCACTCTTGACCTCAAAACATACGAAAAATCCTATTCAGTCAACAATGATGAGTCATTCATGAAAACTACGCATTCAAATTTGCGTAAACTAAGCAAGCAAATAATTTGCATCATGTCGGGTGTGAACACGACGTATAACTAACGTATAACGACGTATAACTGTTTTCTCAACACAAACCATTTAGCAACGTGACATTTGTTGTCAGCTTGTTTCCATTCGAAGTGGCGGATACGTAAAACTTTCAGTCTTTCAGTTTGACTGGCTGTGATATAATATTCTGTAGATGTAAAAGTGTTTAAATCATAGACTGTATATACTATGGACAACTTGGTTCCACCTTCCGCCAGTTTTCATATTTGAAGCCGAAAAGCTCTCGATAGTTCCGCGTTTTTTTCTCCATTTCCTGAAACCAACATCGTGCAATAGCGTTCTACGCACTCCACCACTTGCGCAGTAGCGTTTTGCGCATTTGGCGGGAGAGTCGTCAAGAGGCTGTGATGACGCTCCGCTCAAACAGCGTATCCCCCGGGTGAGCTATGCAATCTTCGTACGCCCATAGGCTGTATCAGGTGTCAATCATAGAAAACTTGAACCCCCTAATAACTTTTAAAAACGAAGCTGTACAGAAAAAAGAGGACTTGAGAACAAACCAGTCTTACAGTAACTACATGTCAACATCGCAACCAGGGAGTAGAAAAATTTATGTTCTGTGTAACAAATTTCCAAAGTTGGTCCATAAACTTTGCTGGCGGGGGCTGGATTTATGACCTATACTGCAGCCCGCCACCAAAGGGTGCTGTTCTCGGAGTGGCTTCACCCATGAAGAAGGCAGACGCTGTCCATTCTATATACAGTCTATGGTTGAAATTCACTGGTAAAGTGGCGCCCTGTGAAAAAACACAAAGACTTATGAGCTCATGAATTAATACCACATGTGGGTCAACACGTGACATCATTAAAGGCAATATCATCCAGATAGATTAAGCGTTTGAGTTCAGCTTTGCCCCCAGCGCAAGTTTCGACCTCACCCTCATTAGGATATTCAAAACGAGGGAAGACTTAATCAAATTAGCAACCAATTATCAGAGTGCATGTAAATCAGGTGTCGGTAGCGTGAACTGTGCCTGAAAGCTGTCTAAATCTGCTCTCAGTTTCTCAGGCAGACTTGTAATAGAGTTGGATGTGCAGCTGTGCTCGGTAATTATTTTATCCAGTGGGGTATTCCTAATTAGAAAATCATCCCGATGTCAGGTTTGGGATGGAATTGAATTTAGTTTTTATAATAACAGTGAAGAAGCTTCCTCTCATGAGCCATGTACATGTCACGTCTGTACCTTACCCACGGATAACTCGCACGTAGAAATTAGTCAGAAGATGATTTTAAACACGAGGCCCCTGAGTGCTCCCTGGTGTCACAGGAAAAATTGCCAGAGCTGTAATGTTCATTTGAATGAAGGCCCTGAAGAAGGATCTCATTAAAAGAATCAGTTGTTGGGAAAATAATCCAGTAATGTGGTGGAGTTTCTTTAGATACCGCAACTTTATGGCCCATCACGGATATTGATTTATCTTTTCAGTGCCTGGGAATTTTCCTTCAGGGCTGCCGGTGCTTCAGTTTCATTTCCTTTTGCTTCATGTGTTCTCGTTTATTTCCTCTGTCCCCCAGTGACTGTGGTTTGCATTAGAAATGAATTGCATCTGGCCAGTATACAGATTTCTCATGACCGAAGAGATGGAGATTAAGTAACCTATATAAAAATCACGCTCCGAGCTCACCACATAAACAACTTTGAATGCAGGAAATAGTAGAGCTGCAGTAAATCATATTATCATCATGCAGAGACGCACCTTGATTATTTCAGTTGGTTCATTGCGAAATTAAAGCTTCTCATGTGAGCTCTAATTTCTACCACAAAGATGTGATTCATAAAGTTGTATTGATAAATC